TGGAGCCACTCCCATCGGAGCAGAAAGGGAAGAGCTCCCAGGTGGGGCCTGTGTCCTTGTTCCAGCTCTGGGATGGGAAAAAAACTTCCCGTGACCACCAGAGAAGGATCATCATGGATCCCTTGGAGGGGGAAGTGGTTCAAGAGCCGGGAACGCGCCGGAGCCCCCGAGCTTGGCCGTGACCTGGCGCAGGGGAGGAGAAGCTGGTGCCATCCTCCCACATCCCGACTCCTGTGAGGGATAAAATCCATGTGGAGGGGGAAATAAACCCAGGCAGCTGGAGCCTTCAAGGCCGGAGAGCGTGGAATGTGGCCGTGACCCGGCGTGGAGGAGGGAAGGGATCCCAGCTGGGGCTGCACTCGGCAGGCGAGGAGGGAAAACAAACATGGATACGTGTTGGGGGAAGAGAAGGGCAGGGATGGAGCCTCAGGTGTGTTGGGAATGCCCCAGATCCCGTGTGCCTGGCTGGGAACGACCATGGAGAGGGAAAACCAGCCCTGGTGTGTGTCATGGAGCTGCTCTGCCATGGGGTTCTCCTGGAATTCGGGGGGGGAAAAGGTGGGGAAAACCCATGTGGACGTGGCCTTCCAGGCTTGAGTGCACTTGGAGCACGTTGGGTCCCGTGTGCCTGGCTGTGAGTGACCATGGAGAGGGAAAACCAGCCCTGGTGTGTGTCATGGAGCTGCTCTGCCATCGGGTTCTCCTGGAGTTGGGGGGGAAAAAGGTGGGGAAAACCCACATGGATGTGACCTTCTGGACTCGAGTGCACCTGGAACGTGCTGGATCCCGCGTGCCTGGCTGGGAACGACCATGGAGAGGGAAAACCAGCCGTGGTGTGTGTGATGGATCTGCCCTGCCATGGGGTTCTCATGGAACTGGGGGAAAAAAGGTGGGGAAAACCCGCGTGGACAGGACCTTCCGAGTCCCGATCCCATAGGAAGGGAGAAAGAAGGGGGAAAACCTGGCACCGAGTGGATAAAAAACCCAAGAGCCTCGGGGGGTAAATCCAGGCAGGGAAAACCTTCCCAAGCCCAGGAGTGACCCGGTGGCAGCTCGTCTGGCCTGGCGACAGTCCCTGCCCCTGGGCCGGGGAAGGTTGATTGTCCCCACTTAAGCTGTTTAGCATTTAAATTGTCGCGGCTGCCCCGCCCTGGCAGGGGCGATGGGCGGGGGGAGGGACGAGCCCTCAGTTCCCACCTGGAGCGGAACTTGGGAAAGGAGCTGGGAACAGAACATGAGGGCGAGCAGGGTTTGGGAAGAGGCGTTTGGAGCTTCATGGTGAGCGCTGGGGTTTCTTCAGGTGCTGGTACCAAGGAGTTTGGGGGGAAGGGTCTTTCCCCTGCTGAGTTTGGAAACCTCCAGGGGAGTTTTTTGGGAAGGTGGTGGGATTTTAGGGAGCAGGGCTGGGGAAGGGAGCAGGGCTTGGGAAGGGAGCAGGGCTGAGGAAGGGAGCAGGGCTTGGGAAGAGGCCGTTTGAATTTCCTGGTGAGCGCTCAGGTCTCTCCAGGTGCTGGTGCCAAGTCCCTGGGGGGGGAGGGGGAAAATCTCTTTCCCCTGGTGAGCTTGGAAAACTCCAAGGGAGTTTCTGGGAAGATGTTGGGATTTTGGGAGCAGAGTTTGGGAACAGGACATGAGGGCGAGCAGGGCTTGGGAAGAGGCGTTTGGAGCTTCATGGTGAGCGCTGGGGTCTCTTCAGGTGCTGGTACCAAGGAGTTTGGGGGGAAGGGTCTTGCCCCTGGTGAGTCTGGAAACCTCCAGGGGAGTTTTTTGGGAAGGTGGTGGGATTTTGGGGAGCAGAGCTCGGGAAGAGGCTGTTTGAATTTCCTGGTGAGCACTTGGGCCTCTCCAGGTGCTGGTGCCAGGCTCGGGGGGAATCTCTTTCCCCTGGTGAGCTTGGAAACCTCCAAAGGAGCTTTTGGGAACCCAGGGGAAATCTGTGAAAAATGCAGAGTTTTTGGTGGGTGGGGGGACCTCTCCCCACCTCGGCCACGTTGGCTCTGGACAAACCCCCATCCCCAAAGTGCAGCTTTCCAAATCAACCCGTTTTGGGGGGTTTTTCCACCCATTCTCACCCCGGATGGATCCTCCCGGCTCCGGGATGCGCCGGCGGCTCCGGCTGGGCTGGGATGTGGCTGCTTTAAAGGGGCAAAACTCAGCGATGGGTTTTCCCTCCTCTGGATTCCAGGTGTGTCCCCCTGCCCTGTGTCCCCCTGCCCCATGTCCCCCGTGTCCCCCTGCCCCCTTTGCCTCCAAGTCCCCACCAAGCACCTGGCGCCTCGTTGCAGCGCAACATGTTTTGGGCTTTGCTCCCAAATTTGGGGTTTACTCCCCCAAAACCCTCCATGGACTCGGAAGGGGGGTTGATGTGGCACCACTCTCTGGGGCAGGAGCATCCTGCTGGCACTGGGTGCCATCTTGGGGTGATGCCAGTGGAAGAGCTGGAGCCACCCGGAGCTGCCGACCCGCGGGACGCGCCGTGGGTCTGATTGTTTTCATTTCTATTTTTGCTTCTTCTTGGCAAACAAGCTCAGGTTGGCTCCTGCTGTGGTTCCTCAGGGGAGCACCAGGCACTGGGGGCTTTGGGAAAGGAGGGATTTTTGGCAGTGGGCATTTTTGAGAATGGTTGTTTTCTGATGTGGACGTTTCAAGATGGCATTTTGGGGTGGCCACTGGGCGTTGGGGTTGGCTCTGTTGTTGAGGGTTGGGCTTGGTTCCAGAGCTGAGGTGGCTCCAGGGTTGGGATTTGCTCCATCACTGAGGGCTGAGGTTGGTTCTGGTGTTGAGGGTCAGGGTTGGCTCCAGCACTGGGGATCCAGGTTGGCTCCAGGGTCAGGGTTGGCTCCAGCATTGAGGATCATGGTTGACCCCAGGACTGAGGTTGGCACCAGGGTTGAGTTTGGCTTCAGGGTTGGGGTTGACTCTGGCATTGAGGGTTGGGTTTGGATCCAGTGTTGAAGGTTGGGATTAGCTCTATGGTTGCAGGTCAGGGTTTGCTCCAACACTGAGGTTTGCTCCAGCGTGGAGGCTTGGGGCTGGCTCTATCACTGGGGCCTGGGGTTGGCTCTGTCATTGAGGTTGGCTCCATCATGGAGGTTTGGGGTTGGTTCTGTCATTGAGGTTGGCTCCAGCTTTGAGCTTGGCTTCCATTCTTGAAGCCTGGGATTGGCTCCAGGCCTGAGGGCTGAGGTTGGCTCCATCATTCTGCTCCCTCAGCCCCAGGCAAGGCAACATCTCCTGCCAGCCCATTCTCTCCTTCCCTCTCCATTTGCATTCTTTAGCCCCAGGAATGTTCAGGCTCTTCTCTACCTTCTCCAGGTCCATCCAGCTCCTCTCTCCTTTCCTAGTCTGTTCCCTTCTTCACCCACCCTGGGGTGAGGTTGGAGCTGGTGTCTCCACCCTGCCAGGATCGGGCCCCTCATGGGATTTCTCCTTGAGATTTTCCTCATCCCCCTTCAACCTCCAGCAGCCTTGGGGGGTGGAAGGTGTTTTGGGGGGCTGGTTGGGTGTTGGGGACTTCCACACTTGGGTGGCTGGTACCTGTTTGCCCCCTGAGGCTCCCTAAGCCCTCCAAGGGTCCCTCAGCTCCCTCAAGGTGTTCCCAAATGTTTCTGGGGTCCCCAGCCCCTTTGAGAGGTCCACAAGCCCTTGCAGGGTCCACCAGCCTTTCAAGTGGTCCCCAAATCTTGCTGGGGTCCTCCAGCCCTTTGAGAAGTCTCCCAGCTCTCCACAGAGTCCCCAAACCCTTCCAGGTTCCTCCAAACCCTCAAGGATCCTCCGAATCCTTCCAGAGTCCTTTAGCCTCTCAAGGGGTCCCCTAAACCCTTCAAGGGGTCCCACAACTCTTCCAGTGTCCCCCAGCCCTTTGAGGGCCCCCAAACCCTTCCAGAGTCCCCGAGTGCCAAAGTCCCCCCATTGTCCCACCCACATGAACTCATCTGGGAGAAGGACATGGCACAACATCCCCAACCCCCCCACACCCTCCAGTTTTGGGGACAACTCCCCAGGTTTTGGGGCAATTTGGTGCCTTTCCCAGCCCCATGTTGTGGGATTGTATTTTTGGGAGGATAAGGAAGGGATTTGAGGGTGACCAGGGGGGATTCAGGGGAGGGTTTGGGGGGGACCTCATGATATTCAACCAGGGCAAGTATAGGCCCAGCTGGACCTGCTGTAGGGATCTCCTCATCTTCCATAGGCCATGGGGGGAGTGTGAAGGGTCCTTCCCAAATGGGTTTGGGTCTCAGCTGATCCCACCCCATCAGCAGAGCTCCAAAGTCTTCAGCCTTCATGGGAAGTTGCAGCTCCCCAGGAGGAGGAAGTTGTTGTCTGGGAGGGTGGCAGAGCCCTGGGCCAGGCTGCCCAGAGAGGCTGTGGAGTCTCCTGCTCTGGAGACATTCCCAGCCCGGCTGGGTCCTGTGGGATTTGCTGGAGGGGACCCTGCTCTCCAGGGGGTTGGACTGATGATCTCCAGGGGTCCCTTCCAACATGACCACTCGTAAAGTCACAACTCTATGACTTTTTGTGGTCCATGGACTCCAGCAGGGACCCAGCACCGTGTTGGTTCTGGTGGCACCAAGGGAGCAGCGACAGGACCCGATGTCTTACCTGACCTGGGGACACGAAAACCTTGGGTGACCACAGCATGGGGCTGAGACCCCATTTGACTTCCCGACCATTTCTCCTCAACGTGTTCCGGCCTCTTCTCTCATTTTCTCCTCTTTTTCTCTCCCATCTCCTGTAGGTTCTTCCAGCAGTCCCTGAGGTCCCTCCCTCCCCCGTGCCAGCGCGGCGGTTTTTTCCGAGTGACCCAGCACAGTCGGCGAGGGATGGAGAAACCTGTCCCCAGTTTCCAAGGAGATGGTGGGAGAGCCCTGTTCATGACACCCGAGCCCAACAAAGAGACTTTTCCCACCCTGGAGTGTTCCCAAGGTGAAGATCCAAGAGCTGCTTTTCTCCAAGATGGAAAAAACCACTTGGAGAACCCAGTGTTGTCTGGGACGTCGATGGAGACGGAGCTCGAGGAAGAGACGTTTTATGGCGCTGATGACCTGGGGACAATGAGCAGGGAGGGGACAGGACCCTCAAGCCCCTTGCAGGAGGACCCCAACTTCTTCTCCTCGCTCTCCCGCCAAGAGCCCGACGTGGCCCTGGAAGCGCACGATGTGGCTGGTGAGTCCTTGGTTGGTTGTGTCCTTGGCTTCTGGGGGATGGGGACATCTCCAGGTGCTTGGTGTGTCACTAGTGACACTTTCAGGTTGGCTTGGTTAGTTTGTCTGGTGGTCACACCTGGTCGGTTTGTGGTGGGAGTTCGTTCTCTTGGTCTTTGAGACGTTCTCCGGCTCTGGGTGGTTTGTGGTGGGTGTTTGTTCTCCTGGTCTTTGAGATGTTGTCCAGCTCTGGGTGGTTTGTGGTTGGACTTTGTTCTCTTATCGTTGGAGATGTTCCCCAACTCTTGGTCTTTGAGATGTTCCCCAACTCTTGGTCTTTGAGATGTTCCCCAACTCTTGGTCTTTGAGATGTTCCCCAACTCTTGGTCTTTGAGATGTCCCCAGGTCTGGGTGGTTTGTTGTAGGTGTCTGTTCTCCTGGTCTTTGTGATGTTTCCCAACTCTCAGTGTCTTGTGGACAGGACCATGACCATGTGTGGTGCAAACTTGTGGATTTGGTGGAAGGAGAAACAAGGGTGTGAAGGCCAGGCTGACTCCATAGCAAAACCCACCAGTGGGTCAAGCTGGTGCCTTCTTGGAGACCCCATGTCCCCCCTACGTGGTGTCAGGTCCCCAGACGGGGTCACCTGTCTCTAGAGAAGGTGTGGAGCTACACTGGGGTGTCCTCAGCCTCTTGTGTGGGCACTGGGTGGTCTTGCTATGGGGTTGGGGGGTCTTTGTCACCTGTGGGAGATGCTGTTGGGTCCATCCCTGACTTGGCTCTGGGAGAAACTCCTCCAAGGGCTTTTGGGTGAGCAGAAGGTTTTCATGGGATAGCTTGGGTTGGAAGGGACCTTCCAAGATCATCCAGTCCAACCCCTTGCTGTGGCCAGGGACACCTCCCACCAGCCCAGGGTGCTCCAAGCCCCATCCAACCTGCCCTTGGATACTTCCAGGTGTGGGACAGCCACAGCTTCCCTGGGCAACCTGGGCCAGTGTCTCTGGAGAGCATCTTCGTGGCTTTCTTTGGATCTGGTCTAACAGGTCCTTCTCTGTGGGGCTGCTCTTAGTCCCCCAGTTTGTGATACTGGGAAATGCCCCAGCCCAGGTGTAGGACCTTCCATTTGGCCTCATTGAACTTGAGGAGCTTCACCTTGGCCCACCAAGAAGTCCCTTTGGCCTGTTGAGGACCTTCTGGGTGACATCCCTTCCCTTTCCCACCAGCTCAGGTTGGTGTCACCACAAGTGTGGTGGTATTAAACATCACTGGTCCCAGTATGGACCCTTGAGGGCCTTCACTCCTTACTGGTTTCCACCTGGATCTTCAGATGTTGACTGAAACTCTTGACCCGTGGTTCTTTGGGCAGTTCCTTGTCTGTTGAACGTGGCTGCTGGAAGTTGTCTGCAGATCCTCAGTTGTCCTCTGCCTGTCCCATGTCTGCTTTGGAGGATTAACCCTCTGCTGCCTCAACTTCTCCATGCCAAATCCCTGCCAGGTGCCTCCACCATCCCATGTCCTACCTGAACTTCTTGCCGTTACAACCCCCCTGTCCTTCCCTGTCCCTGTGTCCTCGCTGGAAAACAAGGTGGGTGGTGGCCATGGATCCCACCACAGGCTGGTGCTTTGCTTGTCCCCTGGCTGCTGGGGTGGCTTTGTCCCCATCTGGGAGTGGTGACAATGGTTGATTCCTTTTCACTGCCTCGTCCCTGTAACAAGTTTGTCCATCTCCACAACCACCCGTTGACTTTAAAGCCTTATCTCCTGGTGCAGGCCTTATCTCCTGGTGGGTCCTGCTGTTACTTCCCCAACACGAGGTGGGTGGGGAAGGACCATGTTGCATCTGGAGAGTTTTTCATCTCTTGGTTCCTTCGCTGTGGTCATGGGGGCGTGGACCTGAGTGATTAAATCAAGGAGCTGATGTCCAAAAAGTAGTGAGGGAGATGGAGAACGTCCCCACTGGGCCTCCCACCTGGCTCTGGGTGGGTGGTGGGGCCAGTTGGGGTGCTGGGGTGCTTCAGGAGTACCCAACTCCAGCCCCACTCGTGGGTGGGCTTGAGGACACCCAATGGAAGGGGCTGGTCAAGGCCCTGTGGCCACTTCTGAGCTCAAAACCCAAAGTGATGTTACCCAAAATGGTCCCAAACTGGTGGCCAAGCCCTGGGCTGTGGGTGGGGAGACCCTGCTCAGACCTTGAGGTCCCACCAGCCTTGTGGCTCTGGGGGGGCTTCCTAGGATTGGTTTTTGGGGTCCTCTTCAGGGTGTTTTGGGGGTCTCTCCAGGACTTTTTCTGGGTGCTCACTGGGAAGTCTCAGGGTGCCCTTCAGCATTTTTTCAGGGTTCTCTACTGGATTTTTTTCTGGGGGGGCTCTCTGAGATTTTTGGGGGGGGTTCTCCAGTATTTGGGGGCTCTCCAGGGGATTTTTTGAGTGAGTGCTCTCCAGGACTTTTTCAGGGTGCCCTCCAGGATGTTTTTTGGGATACTCTGATTTTTTTGGGGTGCTCTCCACATTTTTGGTCAGGGCTCTTTCCAGGACTTTTTGGGGTGCTCTCTGGGATTTTTTTTTTTTTTGAATGCTCACTGGAATGTTTTGGAGTGTTCTCAGGGTGTTCTCCAGGATTTTTCAGGGTGCTCTCCAGGACTTTTGGGGTGCTTTGCTTTGTGGGGGGCTCTTCCAGAACCACCTGGGTCACTTGTAGTTGTGGGCAGCAGGACTGGGGGTGCCCCAACCTTCTCCCCCACCCTGCTCTGGACCTCAGCCCAACCCCCTCATGCCAAGGTGGCTCCAAAGGGCTGGGCCTTAATCTGGTCACCAGTCCCCATCCCAGCACACCCTTATCACCCACCCTGGGGGGGTTTCTCCTCCCCGTGTGGGCGCGACGGGGCGGTTGGAGCTGTGGTTGGATCCATGGTTGGTCACAGCCCATCCACACATGGAGCTTTTTGATGGTTTCTTCCTCCTTCTCTGCACTCCTGCCATCACCTTGGCTGGGGGCTGGTCCCCTTGGTGTCCCCTTGGTTTCCCCTTGGTTTCCCCTTGGTGTCCCCTTGGTGTCCCCTTGGTGTCCCCTTGGTGTCCCCTTGGTGTCCCCTTGGTGTCCCCTTGGTGTCCCCTTGGTCCCTGGTCACCTGGCTGTGTGTCCCTGCTGGTTGTGGAGCACGAGGTGGGAGGCTTCACCAGAGGTGAAGGGTCCTGTGGGGCAGAGAGGGGGTCTGGGGAGGGTTGGTGGGTTGGGGTCTAGATTGAGGTGAGGTTGGGGTCTAGATTGGGGTTGGGGTTGGGGTCTAGATTGGGGTTGGGGTCTAGATTGGGGTTGGGGTTGGGGTCTGGGTTGGGGTTGGGGTCTAGATTGGGGTTGGGGTCGGAGTCAAGATTGAGGTTGGGTTGGAGTCAAGATTGAGGTTGGGGTCTAGATTGAGGTTGGGGTCAAGATTGGAGTTGGGTTGGGGTTGTGCTTTGGGCTGCACATGGGGGAGGGATGATGACAGTGCCCCAGGGTCCCCAGGGTGGGGATGTTGTGATGTGGGGTTCCCATGGCAGTGTGGGGGGTCACCAAGGTCACCAGGGTGGGGACACCCCCTGTGGGGATGTGGGGTGGGGCGTCACCAAGGTCCCCAGTTTTGGGGGGTTATAGGGGGTTGGGTTTCATGTTTTCGGGAGGTTTGGGGGTTTTCTGGGGTGTATTTTGGTTTTTTGTTTGTTTGGTTTGGGTTTTTTCTTGTTGGTTTTGGGTGATTTTCCTCCTTTTTGGGGGGAGGGTTTTGGGGGTTGAGTTCTGGGGGATTGTTGGGGGGGTTGGGGGAAGTTTAGTTTCAGGGGGTTTAACATTTTTAATTTTTTTAGGGTTTTTTGG